CCCAGCAGCGCACGGCCCCGGAGCAGCTGCTGGCAGCAGCCGCACCGCACCAGGACTTCGACGGCGGTGGCCTTTTTGTACTGCAGCCGCGTGGCGTGGGGCGGTGCCGACACCGTCGCGCTGTTGGCCGCCCACCGCAGCACTGCGCCCTCCTCACGCGACACCCAGGGCTGCACGCGCGACGTCAGCAGGTCGTACACGGCTGCCTAGGGCGCAGGCGGGGCGGCACGAGGTTGAACGTGCAGCGCAGGGGCGGGCACCCCGAGCCTGTTTGGGGCTATCGACGACACAGGGGGACATGCGATACGTGCGCGGGCAACGCAAAGCTGGGCGCACGACCCCGCGCCCGGCAGGCATGGCGGCAGTGAGCGCTCCCGCGCTGGTGACGCCAGCGCACCAGTGCGCGCGTGTTGACACGCTTGACGACAGCGTCAGCGCGGCCGGGCCGCCAGGGACCATCCCTGTGCATCGCCGTGCGCATGTGCACCTGGGAGGTGAAAGCAAATGTCGCACCGGGTGGGGTTTTCAGCCTCTGTGGAGACCGGTCACGATGGACCGGCAGGGGCACACCGCTGGAGAAATGGATCAGAAGCAACACACCACCCGCGTCATCTTGTGGGGTGGCAGTGGTTTCAGAATCGCCTCACCTCCCAGACAGAGTCCCCCAGAAAGGCCATGCTGGCGGCGTTCCACCGGCTGCGCGGGTCTGCGCCCCCCAGGTCAGGGGGCGGAGGCAGGCGGCACGGAGGCGGCACACCCCCATTGCCGCTACCCAAGGCAGCCAGATGCACGCGCAATGAGGGGCCGGTGCATGGGGAGTGACGCCCCAGGCATGCGCCAGGCAAGGTTGCCGATCCGTGCCTGCGTTTCAAGGCAGCTGAAATGGCACGAGTCGGGGCGGCAGCAGCAAGTGCAACGCCACTGGTGCGGCGCGCAGCCGCCGCCGCCCCTGCTGCTGCACGTTGCTTCAGTTTGCAGCTTATACGAGCCTCCCCGCAGTCCTGGCACACGGGTGACAAGTGGGCTGAAAGTGACGACAGTACAGTACCCTAGATCAGCTCTGCGCTCACGAACAAGCTGTATACCGTATAAGAAATATATCAACATCTCTGTCTACATGCTGTATGCGCCACTGCGGACGGCCCGCATCGACGTGGACGTGATTGCGCAAATTCAACAGCTTCTGATCGCACTGCTCTACACGGGAAAGTGTGGATCTATCAGTGCGGCGTCACCCGCAGCATCACGAGCACGCCACTGCAGCATCGCCGCCGCTGCACACCTTGTTTCAAGTGCAGTACCGGCACTTGAGACAGCAGCAGGATGGGGCATGCGGCCAGCAGAGCTGCACCAGTGGCAAGCGGCTGGTCTACCGAAGGCGTGCAGCCTCAACACGCCATGCGTGAGGTGAGCATACGCTGTTTCTGGGAACAGTTCTTGTGCCATCCCTCTGGTCAGCAGCGGTCAAACTCCTCGGGCATCGCCACGTATTACATTTGAAGCAAAGTATAGCACCTTCTCCAGGTGCTACCGAGTGTGGCAAGCATGTCATAACACAACAATCTTTGTGCGACGCAGCTGTGCAACACCGCGGAAGAGCTGGCGGTCAGCAGGCGCTGCGGTGTGGAGGCAGAGGCGATCTATGCGGCGACACACAGGCTGCGCCACGATGCCGCCTCTTGGGATGAGCTGCACCGCCACGTGACACCGCTTGCCGCGCGTGGTGGCGACGGCATCAGCTTTCGGCGCGTCTGGCGCGTCGCCACTGAGCTGCAGGCGCTTGGCCGGCGGCTGGAGTGGTGCACGCAGCGCGTTCGGCGGCTCGCCGGCAAGCCCCACCTGTGGCGGTCACGGCGGTGGGCGGCGGAGTGCGCGGACGTGCTGCATCTCGCAGCGGCGGCACACCAGCAGTGCCTGGCCGCAGTGAGGGCGGCAGTGGGCACGGCTGAATGTCAGGACAGCAGGCGGCAGGTCACGGCACAGCGGAGCGGCAGCCAGGGGCCCTTGAGGTCAGCCACACGTGTGTCCTTGCAACAACCCATGGCGCAAACATCAAGCAGTAGCAAGCTGCACGTGCCTGAGGCCAAAAGGGCTGGTGTTGTCTTGGATGGCAGCGCTGACGTCATCCCCGCGGTCTGGCAGCAGCAGGAAAAGGGAGTGCGCCGCGAAGCCAGGGGCGGGGGCGAGCGCCGCCGCGCCCTTGGCGGCAGGGGCACGCCATGCGGTCCAGGCAAACACAGGCACAGCCGCCGCCGCGCGCAGGCGGCGCCCAAGCCGGTTGTGGACACTGCAGCCACACAGCAGTCGCCGCACACAGCGCAAATGCCGCCAAACCATGAAGGCTGGGGAGCACTGCCACAGCAAGGGCATAAGGGAGACACTGCCGCAGCCCTTGCGGCTGCCCAAGGGATGCGCGGCGGCGGCGACGCCGCGGCAAGGGAGGCGCGCACGCTGCTGCAGTCGGCCGTGGCGAGCGGTTGCGCGGCGGCGTGCGTGATCCTGGGCCAGATGGCAGAGGCTGGTGAGGGCCTGGCGGGGCCTGACGCGGCGGAGGCGGTCGAGTGGTACGCGCGCGGCGCTGCCTTGGGCGACGCAGAGGCAGCACACCTTTACGGATGCGCGCTCGAGCACGGCGTTGGTGAGCTTTATTGTGGCAGGAACTCGAGGTTGTGGTTGCTATTTTATTGCCAAGAGGCGCTGCCGCACCAAAAGATTATGCAGTCAACGATGATGCAGAGGTCTGTCAACCGCTGCCACGCCGCACCTCATCAAGTGCTCCGCAGCCAATGCGCACAGCATGCTCACAATGCTTGCCCCCCGCGCCACTCCACATTCAGGTGTGCCGCAGGACTTTGCGGCAGCAGCAGAGTGTTACCAATTGTCGGCCGCGGCATCATGGGTGCCGGCAATTAACAATCTTGGAGCCCTGCTGGCCCGGGGCGCCCCAGACGGCTCACTGGCGCCAGACCCCCCGGCGGCCGCGCGGCTGCTGCTGCGCGCGGCGCGCGCCGGCAGCGCCGCGGCGTGGCTCAACCTTGGTGCCGCCTGCGAGGCGGGCTTGTTCCCACCCAGTTCTGTCGACGAAGCGCTTAGGGCTGCAGGCGGCAGCTGCGTCTGCAAGAGCGATCACGAGTGCTGCCTGTGCCCTGCAGGTCGGCCAGCTGCTGCTGTTGCTGCTGCCGCTGCGGCAGCAGCTTGCTACGCGCGCAGTGGCACGCCCGCGGCCCTGCTCCGCCTGGGGCTGCTGCACCTTCGCGGCGGCTTTACGCAGGCCGCAGACCTGGCCCTGCGGCGCGCAGCTGATGCCGATGGGGGAGTCGGACCCACTGCAGCCGAGGCGTTGCTGTGGCTGGCGCGGCTGCAGGAGGGGTACAGCGAGGCCGCGGAGCGGGAGTGGGAGGGGCGGGTTGAGCTCGAAGTGCAGCGGCAAGGGAT